AGCTCACTGCACTAAAGCATCAAAGTCAATAAAGTCATTACGCACTTTGCCTTTGAGTCCTTGCCTCATCTCTACCCACAACCCTGACACACATTTATCATTGAACTGTGCTAGTTTTAAATATGAAGCAGTTTATGAAATGATTACAACATAATGTGATTACAACAATAGTTCTAAATTCAAATTCACTAATTATTTGTTATAACTTTCACAGATTATTTTTTTATATTTATGTTACATTCAATAATTACTATTATTAATGCCTGTGATACAATTATTTGTTTTTATAAAGGAATCTCATTAATTCTGAATAAAAATAATAACATTGCAGTTTTGTAATGCTACAATCAGTAAATTATTATTATTATTATTTTGTAAATAGCTAAAAGAGAAATATATTTTGTGGTAATTATATATTAAAAAAACTATTTCACATATAGAATGCAGACATAATGTAATGTGAAAATTATGTTTCTATTGTTTTGTCACAAAAGTTGTAATGGGCAAGGGACTGTGTCAAACTGTTATGTGACTATATCGAACATATACTTTAAATTAGGTAAGTTACATTTGCAGATATTCCAGTTTAACTTTTGCTGTATCATCTTTAACTCAAATATCATTATAATTTCTAAAGTCATGAATCTTAATGCCATTTTTTACAAGTAGCATACGAGTTGAAAGCACTGGAGGATTCAGGTTTAAAAAAATAAAAAGTAGTGTGGTTGGGGCTAGGGGACATTTCCTTAGATGGGCATTTTAGTATATACACGTAATTCTTCACAATTTTTTTTCGAACATATACTTTAAATTAGGTAAGTTACATTTGCAGATATTCCAGTTTAACTTTTGCTGTATCATCTTTAACTCAAATATCATTATAATTTCTAAAGTCATGAATCTTAATGCCATTTTTTACAAGTAGCATACGAGTTGAAAGCACTGGAGGATTCAGGTTTAAAAAATAAAAAGTAGTGTGGTTGGGGCTAGGGGACATTTCCTTAGATGGGCATTTTAGTATATACACATGTAATTCTTCACAATTTTTACAATTTTTTCCACTGGAAGGGCCACCACAAAGGGCATGTATCATGTATCAACAATTAGGGCATTCAAGAGGGTACATTTCTCAAATTTCTCTGATACAAATCTCTAAATCTCTAAACAATTAATACAAACAACAGTATGCAATGTTTCACCTGCAAAAGATTGTAACTTTCCCTAATCCTTAGTCCAAGTATTTGTGTCAATGAACATGTCTGTGCCAACACATTAAGTCCTTGTCCTTGCGTCTTGGTAAACCCAGATACCTGTAGATACACACATGTCTCCAAGATGTCTTTTAAAAAACATGTACTGTGTACAAAGATCTGGTAAAATTCTTTATAAAGTCAGTGTTACAATCATGTGTACCAAACATGTATGCACTTCTTGATGGAAATAACATCACAACATTTATGGCTGCCCACTGCTCCGGGTATGTATGTTCACTACTTACTATTCCTAATGTGTGTGCACTAACTGGATAGGTTAAATGCAGAGGACAAATTCCGAGTATGGGTTACCATACTTGGCCTTCACATGTCACTTTCACATTTATTTTCACCAGAAGCTGTATCAAGTTCTTGTATTGACAATGCAAGACGTGAGCACTAAAGTTAAGAATTTAATTCAATTTTAATTAAATTTAATTAAAGAATTTGGATGATGACTCCGATCTTTTACATGTTAATGACATTGATTAGGAGTCGTTTACAAGGCAGAGAGCTGAAACCATTAGTTTGCATGCAAGTTCAAGATCATTTGCGATTCATATTTCACATCTGAAAGAGAGGCCTATGTGTGTTTTCTGTGCGTACGTTCATTCTATGAATCGTACGTATGCATATTTGAAAAATGATTGTAAGATCAAGTTTAGGATGGTTTCTGCGCAACATTTTATAAATGAGGCCCCAGGTCTTTACTTGGTCTCAACCCCTCAAAGACTTTGTCTTGTTTTGGTCTCAAAACACATTGGCCTTTGTGTCGATTTGCATGCAAGTTCAAGATCATTTGCGATTCATATTTCACATCTGAAAGAGAGGCCTATGTGTGTTTTCTGTGCGTACGTTCATTCTATGAATCGTACGTATGCATATTTGAAAAATGATTGTAAGATCAAGTTTAGGATGGTTTGTGCGCAACATTTTATAAATGAGGCCCCAGGTCTTTACTTGGTCTCAACCCCTCAAAGTCTTTGTCTTTTTTTGGTCTCAAAACACATTGGCCTTTGTGTCGACAAATGTATGTAATGTAATGTATATAATATGTGATGTATAATATATGTGTTTGTGTGTGTATATATTATGTATATCTATATCTAAATATCTATGTGTGTGTGTTCTCTAATACTTGGTATTATAAAAGTATAACACTACTTATTATATATATTTGGGTTGAACTGTTCTGGAACAGTGTTGTAAATACAACTTAACCACTGATTTCTAGTCGTGTCCTCTTTTGGAAGGCCAAACAACGCTTTCACAACGAAACACAGCGGCACACATGGCGGGCTTGAGTGAGCGGAGGCCGGTGGGCTCGAGAACGGTGCGGCCGGCGGGCTTGAAGGCAACCACATGTGACGACCCCGGGCTGGACTCCGCTTCGTCCACGGTGAAAGCCGATCCGGTGATCCACAGCGCAAAGTTGATGTATTTCCTCAGTGACCAGCACGGATCAGCTTTAGGCACAACTAAGCGGATATTGTCCTCTAAAAAATTGAAATTGCATCATATGACCCCTTTAAAGAAGGTCATCCCTCCTCTATTACCCAGCAGCAGTTTTAACATTAAGTGACATGACATCTGACGCACAGATGCCATTGGCACATGCCGCTATGCTCAGTGACACTTCCGGTGGCACTTCCGGTTTTCAGTGGCATGTGTCAGTGGACAGTGTTATGTGTAACTAAAACCTGGGACACATGTCAATGGACTGCGTCTTGTGTCAGTTGCCGCGGTGCGGTGCGGTGTGTAAAAAAAATGCTTATTATAAGCGGAAGAGCCATTATTAAAAGACAAGAGCCATAGAAAATCAGCTGTACTACAGCCAGACAAGCGGGACAGCATCTTCAACTTTACAGAGATAGCAGTTCATTTTGACATGCACGCCAAAATTTTACGTACATTTAAAATACTGATTACTAGATTACCACAATAAATTTGTGCACAAAATGTAAAATGTCCATGCTTTAACTTACCTCACCACCGCACAGTTTTGTTTTACACAGTAACAATAGCTTTGTCATAATTAAGTGAATAAAAATAAAAGTGAATAGAAATTAAGTGAATAAGAAATAAATATATATACAAATACACAACTGTCAAAATAGTCATTAGACAATATGTACAGATATGCTATACACAATTATGCAAGGGAATGTGAATAAGATGATCCATTGTGATGATACTTTTATAATGATGTGCTCTAGATAGATGCCAGAAAGTGTAAATAAATTAATACAGATATACATGATATTATAAAGGCCAGACTTAAAATAAACAACCTTCATTAGTAGCAGAAAAATATAATGGGAAAATTATATAAATATAAATGTATAAAATTACCTCACCACCGCACAGTTTTGTTTTACACAGTAACAATAGCTTTGTCATAATTAATGGCCACCTCGGCCACTGTGCCCCCTCACCTCTGGTGCCGTCTTCGTAGTGGGCGCTCTGATTTTAGTCGGTGAGGCTAGGTCTCCCAGGCTGTTAAATACACAGATTAAAAGCGAAATGTTTTCATTTCGGTTCGTTCTTAGCAAAAAAAAAT